GAGATAGCCTTAATGAAAACCCAGTCCAGAGCATTCAGAACCTCAGACTGGTCAGAAGGTTCTCCTTCCAACAGGACAATGACCCTAAGCACACAAGCAAGAGTGGCTTATAGACCACTCTGTGAATGTCCTTGAGTGGCCCAGCCACAGATTGGGCTTGAACCCAATCAAATATTTCTGGAGAAACCTGAAAATGTGCATCTGCCCCCATCCAACCTGACAGAGCTTGAGAGGTGAAGAGATGAGGAGAAGGATGGCAGATAATTGACAAATGCTGATAAGCAAAGCTTGTCGCATCAAACAAAAAAAGACTTGAGACTGTAAAGGTTCTTCAGCTAAAAATGTACTTATGCAATGTACTTATTTCAGTTTTTTTTTTTATATATAAATTTACGAAGTTGTGACAGTTCCGTTTTTGATTTGTCAGTATGGTGTATGGAGCGTAGATTGATGTGGGAAAAAAGTAATTTAAAGAAGTTTAACATAAGGCAGCAACATAAAATGTGAAAACAATGACGGGGTATAAATACTTTTGCAAGGCACTGTATATATATGTAATTATTTATTCAATATTATTTCAGTTTCCTTTGCAGTTTTATTATAGGCAGTATTATTAAAAGAATAGTTCACCCAAAAATGAACATTTGCTGACAATTTACTCAACCACTGGCAATCCAAGATGTAGAAGAGTCTGTTTCTTAATGGGAACAGATTTGGAAAAATGTAGCATTACATCACTCTCTCACCAGTGGATCCTCTGCAGTGAATGGGTGCCATCAGAATGAGAGTCCAAACAGCTGATAAAAACACCACAATAATCCACAAGTAATCCACACCACTCCAGCCCATCAATTAACATCTTGTGAAGTGAAGAGCTGCGTGTTTCAACTAAATTTATTATGTCGTTTTAACTTCAAACCGTTGTTTCCGACTAAAATATGAGGCCTCTATCCGTAATATTACTTTCTTTAATGAAAAACTCGTCTCGTCTGAATCAGGAGAGAAATATGCACAGATCAAGAACTGTTTACAAGCAAAAAGATTCTGAAACAGTTCTAAACAAATTTACTGGCGGATTTTGATGTGGGAGGACAACAGGGAATGGACTTTTTCACTGGAGAAAGTATTATAATGGATTATGGACTTAATTTTGACCAGAAGTGATTGTTTAATGATGGATTTGTTTCTCAGAAACATGCTGCTTTTCACGTCACGAGACGTCATTTCATGGATTGGAGTTGTGTGGATTATTGTGATTTTTTTTTAGTCAGTTGTTTGGACTCTCATTCTGACGGCATCCATTCACTGCAGAGGATTCACTGGTGAGCAAGTGATGTAAAGTTAAATCTGTTCCAATGAAGAAACGAACTCATCAACATCTTGGGTGGCCTGAGTGTCAGCAAATTTAACCTTTAACAACTAAAACAACATCACCAAATTAGTCGTGCAACTTAAAACTACGCAGAACTAATAAACTACTTGTTAAGCTATTGCATTATTTATTTATTATTATTATATATTTTTTTTTTACAATGAATAGCTCTGATTTGCATTTAGTGTTGGGAAAAATTCACCACAGCAAGTTCTTTGTAGCACTCATAGCTGTGGCATCACAAACTAAATAGCAAGATGTGGCCACAAGTTAAAGGGCCAGACCAAAAAAAAATTCTAGGCCAACTCATGAATATATATCACACAGCCTAAAGCGGTTCAAGCAGTACTTTAAAAAAACAAATTAGAAATAGCACCTTTAAAAGAAATATACCTGTATGAAATATACCAGCAGTAAAAGGAAAGAGGTCATCTGTTACCTTCAGCACGGCGGTAACATGAACCTTTCATTTTTCATCACTCTATTGAACTAGCACAGAGAACAGAGGGGAGAAGCAGACAGGGGAATAGATATGGATAACAAAATAAAAGAAAGGAAGAGGGGTGAGAGACAAACAGGTGTCTGGAAGAGCATTTGTGGACGAGAGTTAGATATGCTGCTCAACTCGTTATGTCTCAGGGCTAATTACGTTTTGGAGGCAGACATGCATAAGCAAACTTTGAAATTCAAAGTGCATACATGCAAAGTTGAGTGAATATAAGCTGAACTAATACATTTACATTTAAATACAAAAATGAAATATATATTTTATTAAAATGATATAATAAAATTGAAACATTATATAAATTCTATAAATAAAATGCAAACTGTCATTTGCAATTTAACCCACAATTATAATATATTATAAAAAAGAAATGCATAAAAAAGTTCAGACAACTATTGCATACTTTAAGTTGATTAGGCTCATATATGAATAAGAAATACATTATGTTTATTGTTATTTGCAGAATAAGAATACGTTGCAGAAATCAGTCACAAACTATTAATGGGACTCTCTGTCTGCACCTTTCAAGTGCTTTGGGAACACAGTTCAGGGCAGTGAGTCACTCTATCTCTAGATTGAACTTTATGTCAGTAACCCAGATCCTTGACCATAAGGCTGCGGCAGTCAATTGTCCAGTTTGCAAAGACTAGAGGATTACATCAATGAACCGTAAAGACAAGCCTCTCAGACATAAGCTTGTTGACAAATTTCTGGCATAGATCCTTTGTCACTGTGTCACACAACATGATTTATCCCAGTATGTTCCTGAGTCAACATCCTTGAGGACTGTCATTTGTTGCCTAATCCTAGCCCTAAAATCAGGGGACAATAATTGCATAAATAGATCTAATTGGTTTGACTAATATTTTTACTAATATTCATACTCTTTAACTTAATATGTAATAAGTGCTTTATATAATACACTGAAAAAATTGCCTCCGAAACAATTTTTACTCAGAAATTGCTATAGTTTATTTATATGCTATATAGTTCTCATTTGATGGCTTTCTAAAGAATAACAACGGTATTTGCTGGCAATATAAGTTATTTAATGTATTTTTGGATAATTAGTTTTATTTTTGTCTTAACAGCCAATATTCTCTAGCAACCATGTAGATCACAAAATATTTTAGCATATGTATATAATGGCATTAAAATCAACAACAATAGTTTGTTTGTATTGGTGTAGGCTATAATGACAATTTAGTCATTCTGGTGTCAAAAAGCAGAAATAAAACAATTAAAAACAGATCGTCCCTGGTTGGAGCGTCAGAAAATAATGACCAAAATATCACGTATAAATAGAAATACATTATGTTCATTGTTATTTGCAGTTCAATATCCAGGGTTGAAAGATCGGTCATCTATTAACAGTACAGGACTGCCTGTCTGGAGAAACTGAACTTTAAACACCTTACAATTATTAAAAACTATAATAATGGTCAATATCAGTCTCAAATCTCAAAATAACTGTTTCACTGGATATCAAACTAATGTTGTTCTAGGACCAGCAGAGGATGCTGATACAGGGAAATGTCTTCATGTATAGAAATCTTGTTATATCATGCACTCAGACCCACTGACCGTGCATTAACACACATCCCTATGAATAACTCATACACCGGCAAAAACTCTAAAAAATGTAAGTTACGTTGAATACTCCCTCAAATTCATCACGCCTTTTATTCTCACAACTTCATCAACCCATAAAACACTCCTTAAGACGCATAAGACACAGTGTGTGTGTATGTGCGTGTGTGTGTATGTGTAGGGAGCGTCTGTCTGTCACACTGATTCACACTCAGTTTGTCATCAGAACCAGTTCTTCCTGTAATATTAGACAACCGTAAACGTGTTGTGAAGCTCTTTTCCTAAACCCCAAATCCTGCAACATGTTTTAAAATGTTTCCAATTACACTAGCAATGTATCCATAAATGTCTCACCTGAGTTCCAGATGATCAACGCAGCAAGAATATATGAAACTGTCTTCATCGTCCACCAGTTCAGACTTTCAGCTGAGCGCAGGTTATCAGTTTGGCGATCTCAATGTGATGGTCATTATTAATATACCAAATGAGTGTCCCTCTCAAGAGCTAGTTGTATTCCCAATCAATCCAATCGATCATAGATGTCAGTCAGGAGATGTTGGAGAAGAGGCGACTCCCATGGGCTATGAAGAAGATCAGGTGGTGGAGATCCAGCGCAGAAAAACGAAATCACTCTGCATTCAGAATCAACATCTGAGATATATCGATTAATTCATTTGAAGTACAAAAAAAATAAGAAAAAGGAATCGACATCAATAAATACAATGCTTATGTATTATATCCAGAAAAGTGAACGTATCTCCAATGCGCAAGTCCTCAAGGGAGCGCACAAAAAATGTACTCCAGTTTATTGCGTTTTCGTATTATTTTAAGATCTACGACATGTTGAGAAAAAAAAACTACGTATTTCCATTATTCTTCCGACGTTCGGGTTGAAATTGCGTGAAAATGCTCTGAGAAGAAAACTTCTTACAGACACCTGTTGGGAAAGGCAGCTCTCCACATGTTGTTACGCGCTCTGCTGAACTCAACTTTCCAGTTTTTAATCCGGGTATTTCTTCCCAATCTGATGATTCAATCTAGCTACTGGTTTACTATTCTGTAATTGCTTAATCGTTTGAGATCTGTAATGGTCGATTTCACTTTAACAGTTTTTTTTCTGCCATAATGATTTAGTGAAAAAACAAGTTTATTCTGGAAAAAGCCACCAGTGACTTGTTATTTCCCCTGGACAAAAACAAAAAAAGCAAACAAACAATACAGAATGCTAAAATAAATTTGTGAAGGAATCCTATTTTAATTTCTTCTCAAATTTAGAACAAATAATTATACGAATGAAAATGGTCTACAAAGTCTTTCAGAACATAGATAACAATTTGACTTATTATTAAATATATATTTAAAGTCTTACATCCCACTTTGTGATTTGCTTTAACTATCCAGTATCCATACATTATTCCAATGTGGTCTTCTGTTAAAGATTTCCCAATATTCAATGAGATCCTGCTGGATAAACTACAAAACATATCTGTATCTGGATTAATTCATTTTTGCAAGTGTGGCGACATAATTAGCATGTGTATGAAAGCTACATGAATCTACCAGACGTACCGTATCTGGTTGCATTCTTGGCCTAAAGGAAAGAGAGCACCAAAAACTGTAAACCAGTTCTCCCTCCTGAAAACAGTTAAAGCCTCAGGCACTTTTACCGAGTACAACGGAATAAAAAGTGTTCCAAACGAGGGTTTGAGCTGAAAAAGACAGTTATTCACGATGAGGAAAGCTCTCACTGTGATGAGCATTTCTGTCTATGATGCTTTGAATGTCCAAAAATGTTATTAATGTTGAGTCTTTCATTTTTTTAAAAATTGAAGTAAATTTAATACTAATAAAAACAGGTGAGATCCGACTCAATTTTGCTGTATTATACTAAATTTATTTCTCAATAAACAAATTGTTCAAAAAAATAAATTAAAACAGTCTGTGATGCTGTGCTGATATTGTGAACTTAAAAGGGAAGGAAACAATTCTTTTAAAAGAGAATCAAGATATATTGTGAAAATATTTAAAGAGATAAAACTGAACCAAGAATAGTAAGAGATATTTCTATGAGACCTCATGACTTTCAACTTTTCATTTTATCAAACTTATATTATACTTTATGAAATCGGGTGTAGGTGTATAGGGACATCTAGGGGACAATTTGAGTAGTTTTCAAACACAATGCAAAACTTCAAAAACAGAAGCACTAGTGTGATTTACAATACAATAATCAATATTTTAACAGTTAACTCTACATTAACGTGTACATTTAGGCCTATTATCGGATATCATTTTTTGATGCAGATTATCAGAATACTAATAATAGATAAAATACAATATGTATGTAGACCATCACTTCATCCACATGTATTAAGATCTAAAGTAAGATCTAAATGTCTGAGACTGAGAAGGAATATTCTTCATAAAATTTGCTTTAAAACATCAGCATCTCAAATACATGTTATATTTCATTAATCTGAAAATAAAACTGAACATACATATGACAGCAACGAATGATAAAACTAAAGATCAAGTTTTGCCCTGTTTTCTCTCTTACTGGAATCTGAGTTTTATGTACCTCCCTTTTGCTCTCTGATTGGTCCTTTGTGTCTTTTTCTTTTCTGAGATTGGATGGCTTACATCGGAGTCTTGCCATGTCCGAGCTTGTTCTCTTGGCCCACAGGTACAAATCCCACTGTGGCAGAACAGCAAAAAAAAGCTAATATGCAGAGTCCGCTTCTTAGTTAGTCAAAAAAAAATAATTGTTATAAATTAAAAAAAAAAAAAATACCATGATCTATATATTACTGTTTGATTTTGATGTTTTTAACTGGAAATAGCTATTAAAAAAATTTCTCTTTTATATTTATTTTTGTTTTATTTTTTCATGAAATTTGTTTAAACAAAAACACCTTCAAATACAAACCTTTGCATGAAGCATTTCAAATATTGAGAAATTTTTAAAATAAAAAGAAAAACACAACCAATTAAAAAATGCCAAAAAGAAGAAACCGCTTAAATATTACACATCTCTACGCTGTGTTTCGCTCACTGGAATCTGACTGAATTAGCACAGGTTTGTGTTCTTCCTGTTTGCTTTCTGATTGGTCCTTTAAGTCCGTTCGCTTTTCTGAGATTGGGTGTTCTGTGTCCGAGTCTTCATCAGAGTCTTCCTCGTCATTGCCCTCTCCGAGCTTGTTCTCTTGGCCCACTGGCACAGCTCCCTTCCTCTGTGGCAGAACGGTAAAGAAAGCTTCCTGCCAGTCTCGTTTCTCCAGGAATGCTAGAATGATCTCAAAAACTGCAGCAAATGATTGGTTAATTTCTACCAGGAAACTTAGTGTATTACAGAAGAATGGATATCTAGAGAGAGAATCTATGGAAGAGAATCTCACCGTGATTGACAGCCAGCACCTTGCGGCTATTCATCTTGACAAAACTGCCCAGCGGAAGCTGAGCATGAGCAATGCCAAGCTCTTGGGCTCGATCAAATGTGATTCCCTGTAACAGAGCATTTGAATTCCCCAAAACCAAGAGCTTTGGTGAAGCTTTTAATGACCTCAAGGTAAAAGGAAAAAACTGTCCACAAGTGTCACCCTATATTAAGCTCAGAATAAAATCTTTATCTCCTTGCAGGCAGGGCATTATTACCTTATTTACCCCTAAAAAGTACACATTAATACCTTTTAAAATTGTTTCTCCCCAGTGACAGTGTTGTATCTTTTTTTTTTTACAGAGAGTGTAGGGTAAATTTCCTCTTTTAGTTCTAATAAGTTACTCACCTTATGGTGGTTGTGGTCCACCAGACCTCCAATCACATAGGCTTTGGCCTCATCCAGTTCTTGCAGCACATTGGGTGAATCAGATGTGAGGTAGACAAGGTCCTCCTTCTTCAGGATTTCATCAAACGCATCAAGCTTGAAATGGACATCCTACACCACATTGGAATTTAGATGAGATGTCTTAAAGGCACTGCTTTCCATGATCCAACATTCATACCTCAAATATACTCATTCTAGCGCTGCAAACTTCGTCATTATGAATCATGATTTGTGCAGAACTAATGAGTTTTCTTGTGTGTGTGACAGACGGGCTGAACAATGTACAAAACACTGGCAACACAAAAGCATAGGAAGAGTTAAGCATTGACTAAATGTCAGTCTTGAAAACGCAAGTTGCAGATATGCATTCTGTACACACAAGCCAAAAATATACAGTATGATTTGTTTATTTAAACAAAAAAATAGATTTTATTGTTTTGTCTTGCTAAAAAAACAACAGTTTCACAACAGCAAATCACATTTACTGTCAGATGACATTAAAAACGTGAACAAAACGATAAATATTTGTAATATTTATTTTTAGTAGTGTCATTTCCCATCATACCTTCCAGTTGACCCAGCCTTTGTTAATTTCGTCCATGACTTGCTTTAACTGACCGCCATGACTTGTAAGATAAAACTGAGGATGTGAAATGGCTGTGTTAAATAAACGCTCATCTTTAAATTTGATCTTAAAGATCTCATTTTTATTATATCTATTTGAAGGAAATACTTGCCTGTACAGGATGTAGTGTGCGTCTGTTCTCAGCATAGCACCTCTGAATCTGCTTGTGAAGTTTCTTTACATCCTACACATAATGAAACAAAAAATGTAAGCCTGATTCAATTCAGTGATTGAACTTTAAAGAAGGAATTCTGTGTTTAAGTGCATGATCCAACATTCATACCTCAAATATACTCATTCTAGCGCTGCAAACTTCGTCATTATGAATCATGATTTGTGCAGAACTAATGAGTTTTCTTGTGTGTGTGACAGACGGGCTGAACAATGTACAAAACACTGGCAACACAAAAGCATAGGAAGAGTTAAGCATTGACTAAATGTCAGTCTTGAAAACGCAAGTTGCAGATATGCATTCTGTACACACAAGCCAAAAATATACAGTATGATTTGTTTATTTAAACAAAAAAATAGATTTTATTGTTTTGTCTTGCTAAAAAAACAACAGTTTCACAACAGCAAATCACATTTACTGTCAGATGACATTAAAAACGTGAACAAAACGATAAATATTTGTAATATTTATTTTTAGTAGTGTCATTTCCCATCATACCTTCCAGTTGACCCAGCCTTTGTTAATTTCGTCCATGACTTGCTTTAACTGACCGCCATGACTTGTAAGATAAAACTGAGGATGTGAAATGGCTGTGTTAAATAAACGCTCATCTTTAAATTTGATCTTAAAGATCTCATTTTTATTATATCTATTTGAAGGAAATACTTGCCTGTACAGGATGTAGTGTGCGTCTGTTCTCAGCATAGCACCTCTGAATCTGCTTGTGAAGTTTCTTTACATCCTACACATAATGAAACAAAAAATGCAAGCCTGATTCAATTCAGTGATTGAACTTTAAAGAAGGAATTCTGTGTTTAAGTTAGTCATACATTTGATTCTGCAAACACTGCTATGCATCATACAAATGTATTCATTTATTAAAATGATGCCTTTTACTGAAGTTGATGTTATTATAATGGCCACTAAAAAGCACAGGGCTTCATCTTACCTTGAGCACCATGAGGTTATCAAAGCTGCAGTCTATGACCAGCCTGAGAGAGCTGGGCTCTGCTGACCTGCGCAAACGCTTCTTTCCTGTCCACTCCACTCCATCTTCAGCCTGCGCTTGTCTCTCCAGTTTCTTCTGCTGTTTTCTCTCTTTACGCTTCTGTCTTTACATAAAACAAGGAACAATTAAAGGGGTTATATGATGCTGCTAAAAATAACATTATTTGGTGTATTAAGACATGGCGGCGGCGGCAACAACAATACTACAGCGAGAATAAAAGTTACGCCTTCTTTCTTTGTGTGAACATTTGGGCGGCGTTATGCAAATCTTCCCACATCGTGATGTAGATATGTGGGGGCGTGTTAGAACGAGCCGTTTTAGGTAGACGTGGTTGACTCTTACATTTTATAAAGAATATCTTTGGATTTGAGACTTTAGTCTTTGCAACTTTACAGATCTTCTTTATGCACCAAGAGCTTGTAACACTCCAAAGAGAAAGGAAAAATTTAAATCGCATCATATGACCCC